TAAATGGGGTTATTGCAATTATCCCTTTACAGGAGAATATTACTTATTCCATGGACATACAAATTAACCCTTTCACCTGCATGTAAGTTTGGGTTTTGCATCAAGGGAGTCTTGGTTCATGTGTCTCAGACGAAAAAATAATGTCATACAGGGTCAGGCAGAGCCAGATGGCACATGTGTGCCCTCACTGAGTATGTTTCACATTTTTATTATCTTGTGTGTCCTCGTTGGCAAAATGTTTTAGTTCACTGTGGCTCAATCTTTTAACGTTCCCAATCCCTTTCTAAAACATAATTTTAAGTTGGGAAAAAAATCAGCAGTCTGCACTAGCTTTATTTTACCTAATCATAATACAACACTTCATGAAGTCATGGTTTCATTGAATAATCTTAATTAACGACTGATGAAAAACTACCAACTTGCTTTACAATCCCCCTCCCCCAAGATTTCGTAGGTCGCGGCCGCCCTCTGTGAATTCATTGAGAGTCGCCACTAGTGGCTGGGAATCAGATGTTAACATTTGTTGCCATCTCTCTGTGTACAATCCATTTTCTTTTCGGGGAAGGAGGTAGGAAGAGAGCACGGTGAATACGTACTCTCACGTGAGTGAATGAGTAAGGATATCATTAATGGTTAATGGTTACACAGCAGAGTAAATATGATAGGCACTAAAGATCAAATAGCATTGTAAGGTGTAGTGGCGACAAGGGTAAAGAGTGGGGTGTGAGTTCTTGATTAAATGTGCTATGCGTCAAATGTCATAGAGGGGACATGAGTAGGAGGAGGACGGATGTTGGCAATCACTGAATGTAGAGGGAATGAGAGCAGATATATTGGAGGATAGATGAATGTCCTCATGTAGAAGAGAATGCAGTTGGAGAAGATGGGGGGGGGGTAGATTGCCTGATGCGACAGGTACAGCGAGGAGGAGGGGTAGGCATGGCAAGTGGAGATTGGAGTGTTTGGGTTTAAAATGGCATAGGAATTTGACTAGGAAAAAAGGGAGGAGTTAGAGGTGGGAACATAAGGAGGAAGAGGAAGAGATATTGGGGAGATGTAGAAACTTGAGGAGAAGGGGGAGGGGCAGAACGAAGAACACCACTGAAGTAGGAAACAAGAAAAAAATTGCTGGCTTGGTTCCTGCATGACCTTGCGTAAGGTGAGGACAAATTTAATCCTGAGGATTCATTTGATTTGTTTAAAAAATTCTGCCACATCAACATCAAAGGTCATTAGTGTTATTTTTAAAATACAACAATAAGGTGATGCTCGGAAGTGAAGCCCCCGAGTAAGGATTTTGTTTGTCCATAAGGCGATGTTTGTGGATTCTTAGAATAGTTAATGGTTAAAACATAATTGTGCTAGACATAGGTCATACAGCATTGTGATAAAGTTTTGTGGTGAATAGGGTAAAAATGAGTTAATGATTAGGATAAAAGGGCAATAAGGGGATGAAGAAGAGAAGGAAAAGGAAAGGAGGAGAAGAAATGACCATGCAAAATTAGCTGAGGCAGGGGCTGAGGTTCAAGGTAGGGGTGATCCCCTACACCCCCCTCCCCCCCAACAACGAGCAGTGGATTAGAGTGGGGTAAACCTGAGGACTGCTATCTCATACTCAAATTTGTAGGTAGAGCAGCCCCTTAAGAATACATTATGGGAACCACCACCATTGGCACATGCGTGTGATTATGCAAGGTATGTTTGAACAATCATGACCTTGTTGGGTAGTGGGCTATGAAATGACAGGGGGCCAAAAAATCAACATTTCTGATATTGATGAGGGAGGTTTTGACATCATCAGACACACCAGCATAAACTTCCTGGGGGAGGCCATGTATATGAAAGATAATCTTGGCAATATTGGTGTATGACTTTCGGTGGCCTTTGGGAGAATAGTTTAGCACTGTTCTGATACTGCGCCATAGTCAATGAGGCAGGCAAGCAGATCGTTTTCAGTGTTACCAATCCTTGTCATAAACAGGGCAGTCAACTGGGGAGTACAAATGTTAGGGGAGGGGTGAGGCTGGGCAGGACTAGGTGAGGTAAGTCATTCTAGATAATGCACAAATTTGACAAAGAGGGAGTGGTGTTGAGTTAGGTAGTACAACAGGTGGGTGGACAATAAGGATGCAGAGTAGTAATAAGGAGGGAGAGAGTTGAAAATGAAAAAGACTGTGGATGATGATGAGATGGACTGGACAATGTTGGGAAATAGAAAGGAATGTTTTCTGAAGATTGGGTAATGACTTGTGTTAGTGACTTGGAATGGACTGAGCTGACAACAGGTATTGAGGAGGGAGTAGTAGTAGCAGCAGTGTTCAGAATCGTGATCAAAGGATAGCCAGGGGTTGGGGAACCAGAAAAATTAATGTCAGTGAGACTAGTTGAGGAAATCCCCAGTGCCCCTATTAAATGTACAAATTCATTATTGGGCATGGCAAGACTAGAGTATATGGGAATTGAAATGGTTCACCACTCAGGCTCCCTATGAGGGGTAAGG